AGAGCGCTCCTCGACTGTTGCCACGGATGCAGTGACAGCGTCTCCTGCTGTCCTGCTTCGGTGCTTCTCTTGCGTGGCTTCCTGGTGCTCTCGTTTTCCCTTTCTATCCTGCTTCTTTCCCATGTCTCGTCCGAAGGCTCTCAGGCGACCTCTTACGGGCGCTCCCAAAGGCAGTCGGCGGTGCACACGTCAATATACCGAGGAGACCATGCGCGAAGCTATCCAGCAGTATGAAGAAGGGCGGAACCATGGTGAGACTTACAGATCTATTGCAGCAGCCATGGGAGTTCCAGAGGCAACCCTCCGGATGCGACACCAAGGTCTCCGCACATCCCGGCGTGCTAGTCATGCTCGATCCCAGCGTCTCTCGCCCGAAGAGGAAGACGCGCTCTGCGATTGGGTCGAGCATCTCTGCTACATGGGGTTTCCGGTTGACAAGCGCACCCTTGTTGACATAGCAGCTCAGATTTCTGGAGACCCCATTGACGTGTACAACAGGAAATGGGTATACCGGTTTCTCCAAAGACATCCAGGGCTCAAGCTAGGGCGACCCTCCGGCTTAGACCCGAAGCGCGCACAAGCCTTCAACCGACCAGTTGTCAAGGACCACTTCAGGCAACTCGAGAACCTCATCAAATCCTTCAACATCCCTTGGAGTCATGTCTACAACATGGATGAGAAGGGGATTCAGAGGGGTGGTGGGCGTCGTCTGCAGAACATCAAATACTTTGTACCGCGTGGCCGTCGTACGAGCTATAAGCTGCGCAGCGCAAGCCTTGAGCTTGTCACAATTATCGAGTGTGTCTGTGCGGATGGCAGCAACATCATGCCTGGGTTCATCTTCTCAGGCAAGGAGTTCATGCGGGACTGGTTCCAGAATGTTGATTGTAATGTCACGTAAGTATATACAAACAAATCTAAAGACATTGTTGACACCTGGGCCACAGGATTGCTCATTCGCCAAATGGCTGGACAGACGACTTTCTTTGCCTCGAGTGGTTTCGGAAGTGCTTTATTCCGCAAGCAACTGCTCGCCGCGAAACCGATGCACCCATCCTCCTCATTCTTGATGGTCATGGATCACATGTCACCTCCGAGATGCGTCATCTCGCTATGGACCATAACATTCACTTATTCTGCCTCCCACCTCACACAACCCATCGCCTCCAACCTCTCGACGTTGGTGTCTTTGGCCCGCTTCAGCAAGCCTGGACAAAACGTTGCAATGAGTACTACGTCACCTCCCGCGGTCGAGAAATGGACCGTGGCGAGCTCATCCGCGAGTATCTCACTGTCCGGGAGAAGGTCTTCACCCGAGATCTCATCCGCAAGGCTTGGTACCGATCAGGCATCACATCCGAGACATGGAGCGCTGACATCTTCAGCGATGAGGACTTTGCACCGAGCTACGGAACGTCTACTATTGCCCACGTACCCCCCTCCTACCCAACCTCTGGCAACCCTACTCTCATCGTGGAGGGGCTCCCCATATCCTCTCCTTCCTTGGATGTCAGAGACGATGATGCCGACACCGGCTCAGAGCACGGCCACTTCGAGACCAAGTTGAAAGACTCCAGACTCTCGGAGTTGTCCATTGAAGGGAGCGCAACAACGTCTGAGGCAGAGACAGAGCCTGTTAGCGATGGATACAGTAGCGATGATGGTTAGCTCACTACTGATGTGAATCCCAATTGACAACTGACTTTGATTGACCAGATGATGCCTCTCAATCGACTCCTCCCAGCCAACAACGCTCAACATCCGCAGCACACGGCAGCACAAGCCATCGCGATCAGGAGCTTGAACAGCTGCGTGGCGAGGTTGCTCGTCTTCAGCGCGAAAACAGCATCCTCCAGTCGCAAAGCAGGCATGCGAATGCACATGCAGCAGTGGCCCGCTGGCATATCAATGGTCTGATGGCGCAAATCAATCACAAAAAGTCGACAGCCCAAAACGGGAAGAAGCGCACCATACGGACGACAGCCCGGTGTCTGACAGTGGGCGAGGGAGCTCAGCAATGCGATGAGGAGGAGGCGGAGGAAGCTGCTGAAGCTGCACGTAAGGAGGAAGAGCGGATACAGAAGGAACGAGAAGAAGCTCACCGCCAAATCGAACGCGAGCTCGCCGCGAACGATGAGACACACATCTTCTCCGGCGTCCTAGCTAGGAAGAAGAAGGAAGACCTAAAGATGATCGCATACGCCCTCAAGCTTCCACTGAGCGGTACGAACGCTCACCTATCTACAGCAATCACCGACCATCTGAAGGCGCATTCGGCTCGCTATGCGACAGACCCCAAATTTGCTGGTCTTTTCATCGCTGCAAATGGGCTGTCCCATGCTCAGAAGCGCGCCCTTCCCCCTGAATTCAATGACGAGAACATACCTCCACCATCCCAGCGCCCAAGGGGGATGTCGGCCCCCTCCACTCCCACTCCCCAGTCTCTGCCATCCCGTGCATGGACTCCATCATATAGCCCCTGGCAGCCATTTCAGTTTGGGCTGGTGGACACTAACCCATACAATACGATACCTTCGTTCGAATTCTACCATGAACAGCCTCTTCCCACCCCTTATCCGCCGTACCATAGCCCTCTCGGGTCCCAATAAATGTGCTTACCTTACTGCGAGATTCCTCACTAGCCTGAGATTATGCTTAGCGAGCTTGTTAAGCAGCTTCATGAGATTAGAGCAAGATGGCTTGGTGTGATCTCCGGGCGACCTGCATGATGTCTTGAGTACCGGGAGAAGACCTGGACAGGACCCCAGTTGTCGAGACTCTAAGGGACATAGAACAAAGCCATACTGAGCTATAGATCGCAGCATAGGACCCAAATATTCCGTCTGGGTTTGTTGACCAGCAGAGGCAACAACGAAAGCAAGACGTCGATGACCGTACAGAGGCAGTCCGCTGGCCAACGTCGCTATCGAGCGACTGATAACGGCGGTGTTTGAATCGGCAGTCTTCGGCACCGTGACCATCCGTGACAATCCCTGGGCGCCTTTCCGTCGTTTCTGGGGTCAGACGTGTAATCTCCCGATGCTCAATGCAAACTTCAACCGATTTTCTTCATATTTCACAGGTAAGTACTATCTACTCTACAAACGAGGTCTGCAGAGTACGAGATTTATCGGGGAGGATGGGAGGGAGATATTCACGATAGACGTTCTGGGCCGTCGCTTCTGGGGTCACGCTAGTAGCATGCGGTGCCGATCATCGCTTCGGAGCAAAGCTCATAGCGCGGAGAGCTGAGTATTTCGTTGCCGTGCCATACCGGCCGCAGATCTGTCTTCCCACATCGACTCGCAGAATTTCGAGTCAAGAGGGTTACGTAGGTGGTGGGAGAGACTCATTTGTAGGCCGGAAGATCGACGCAGTGAGCTTTCCGCGTGGGTTGTGTGCATCGGTTCAGGCGAAGTTCATGCTCTATCAGAGGCCTCATGTAGCGCCCGCGTCGCGCGCTACTTCTCTTCTCCCCCTCCGTACCTGATCGACGTTGTGCTTCGGGATTGGCCCCTTCCTAATCCTAGCTTCTCCTATCTAACTCTTATCTGTACCGTGTGTTCCCGAACCTTAGAGCTGTTATAGCGCCCGTGAACCGTATATAAACCCAGATCTGTATGTACAAACCCCAGCGTTCAATCGAGATACTCATACCCTGTCTATCCCTCGAGCGAACCTCTCTCCCTCTCG